CCCCACATTACTTTCCCCTGATTTCTCAAGGGACAAATTCAAAGCTGATATAAGCAAACACCACTGTGAAAGTTGATGGGGTCCCAATGAGACAGCAGAAACACAACCTGTGCTTCCTCAGATTAAGCAGATCACAATGGCAGCGGCTGAGCAGCAGCAGCGACACCCCAGAGATCTTCCACAGAACTGTCTTCTGCCAGGACTGCTCAGACAATGCAAGCACATCAACAGAAAAAGGGACTTTTGGGAGGGGACATCAGCAGAAACCAGCCACAAAACGTCCCCAAACACTGACCAGGCAAAATTATCAACTCAACATCTTTGGGGTAATAAGATAACATTTAATGACCTCGTTAGGCTCGGCAAGCCCCTGGCCAGCTAGCCTCCTAGCAGCATGGGGAAGCAGCCTGAGCCTCACCACAGCCCTGCCAAGTGACTGTAAGAAAGGATGCCGCTGGAGTTGTACACCAGGGATCCCCACCCCGCCTTCCCTTTTTACTGGAATTTTCATTCAGTTTTCAAGCAAGGATTCCCTGATAAAACACGCAGGTAGAGGGACTTCTAAAGCAAGGCCAGGACCATCCATGGAGAAACTGGTCAATACAGCAGCACTCTGGAGAGGAGAGAAACATCCCTTTCCTAAGGAGCAGCAGGCCTGTGCTGCAGCTAGGCTGATGGCAAGCTGGCCTCCCAGTCACCATTATGATGTCCACTTAAAAACAAGTGTCCTCACCAGCCCCAGAAGTGACACAGTAAAAAAAGGGACAGGAAGGTTTAATACACGTCACCAGTCTGTTGCTGGAGTCACACTCCAGTACCCAGCTCTGTGCCCACCTGCCAAGAGCTTGGCCTGGGCTCATCCCTGCTCTGCTGCTCTGTTTGCTCCAACAACCGATCTGAGGACTCGCCTGTGCTTTCCAGTTTGGCATAGCCTACGAGGCTGATCTGGTCAAGTCGAGGCCAACTCCTGTTCTTCCGGTCTTTGATTGGCGCCACGAGCAGCACTCCAGGCCTACCAAGGTCCAGGGACTTGGAGTGACCGGGGTTATGGAATTGTACATCTGAACTGAACTCTTTCTTAGTGCATTTGGGGGGCAGGAGCTCCTCACTGGCTGGGACAGGGGGAGGCCCAACGTCCATATTGACCACCACGTGGCTGCCCTGGAGATCATTTTTGGGAAACACACTGCTGTCACTAGGCAAGGGTGTCCACAAGTGCCTCGGCAGCTCAGCAGGTGCCTTAGCTGGACTGCCCTCCCCTTCCTTCCCTGCCCCCTGAGCTACAGCCTGTTTTTTCGGGAGGCAGTTGTTTAGCTTGATGACGGGAAGCGGCAGAGTGTTGACAGCTGAGGAAATTACTGACTCAGCCCCATAAGCAAAGGACAGATTGAGGTTCCCTTCCATGGAGTTGCCAGAACCCGAGTGGATGCTGAGGAGGGAGATGGCAGGGGAATGGCCCTTGTGATGGAGCAGCTGGGCCGTCGTCTGGAGCTTGTTAGGTCCATAGCAGTCAGCCCATTTGTTCCCAGGGCTGGAACAGGACTGGAACCCACTAGAGGAGAGATCCACCTCGTAGCAACCCTCCACGCACTCCGCGTTGGCCTTGAGGATGGGCAGGCTAGTCCTCCGCTGGAAGTACCTCTCCTCTGGGCTTGACACCTGCGGGAGGCCCAGGGTCATGGCATAGAGGCCCTTCTGCATCAGCAGGCGGGTCTCCATGTCCCTGTTCTCGTACAGCATGGTGTTGGCGCAGATGAAAATGAACAGGCCAATGCCCATGATGACAGGGCCAATGAGCTTCAGCTTCTCAGTATAGGAGAGGTGGTGCGAGTGGGCAGGTGCCTTCACTTCTCTCCTGATGCCCCCCGTGCTGCTGGAGTTCCCTGAGCTGGCCCCAGATCCTGCTACAGATGTGCTCCGGTGAGGCCAGTAACCCACAACAGCAATTGTCATGCCAACCAGGACCACGGAGATGCCCACAATCACAAAGGCCCCTGAGGGTGAGCGCATCCGCAGCTGCCCCTTCACAGTCAGCTCCGGCGGAGGTTTGCGCCGCCTCCTCCGGCCATGCCGCCGGGAAGGAGGGGCAGGTCCCGGCGGCTTGTTCTCCAGAGTGTCCTGGCTCTTCATGGCTCCCACGGCTTCAGCACTCCCCGCCGTCATTGCGCTCCCGTTGTTGGGTCTTTCTACAGGGTCAGGAGGGAAAAAAAAAATAGATGAACAGAAGAAATCACTAGTGGGCAGTGCAGGAGGAGGGCTCACATCCCACATACACCTAGGAGCACTGGGCCTCTGTTGCAAAAAAGGGAGACAACACAGTACCAGTGGGAAGCAAAATGGGGCTTGGCTGAGATTAGCTCACATTCAGCCTTTTTACCTTCCTCTGCCTTTCTCTCTTCTCTAAGTTTTCCTGTAGTCATTTCTCATACTCTCACTCAGGAGCTGGACAGTGGCTGACCTGCCAGGGTGGGTCTTTCAAACCCAGGGGCCCAATCCACACCCACAAGTAGTGAGCTGACACCTAATGATCTACTTCTTTATTGGTCCTGTTCCTCCAGGCACCTAAATGTTGAGGGCTCCAGTGTGCTACCTGCTATCCTGACACAGGACAAGATGACAGCCCCTCTCCCAAAGGGCTCTGAGAAGGACTATGGGTACACGTGCCTCTTTGTGCCTGTGTAAATGGCTTTCTGTACAAGTGGAGTGCATGCACACACACTGTTTTGACAGGAGAGATGCAGCCACGTTTAACCGGTCATATTGAGGGCAGTGTTAGCACTAGAGCCATGTCAACTTTTGCCTAAGGAAGGAAATGGGATTTCATTTTGTCCTGTTCAGGATGTCAAAGGACCTTACAAACACTAAGCAATTTAGCCTCCCTGAGTGGCACCTATAATTATTCCACCTGATTTGACAGCTAGGAAAACTGAGGCACGGAGAAGGAAGCGACTGGTCTGAAAGCCTTGCAGTTGAGTTTGTACAGATCAAAACTTAGCTTTCCCAACTCTCAGCCTTCATGCCTTGCCAGCAACCCTCTTCCTCTGGGTGGCCTGGAAAATGACTTTGCCAGGGGTGGGGTTGGAAAAGCCTCACCAAAACAGCAGAGGGACTTGGGAGCTGCATGGTCACCTGTTTGCTCTGTTTGCTATCAAAACAAGGATTTAAAAAATAATGCTCAGCATTATCATTAGGAACTGCTGCTGAGCTGGGTGTCTGTTCATTCGGCCACGAGCTTTCATAAATCACGAGCAACTATCACTAATTCAAGAGGTGCTGCGTCCCACGCTCAGCAGGCTGCTTTAGCACAGATGCCGGAAGCAGGGCACAATCCGGCCCCTGTTCCCCTGCAGGTTCACGGGGCTGGCGGTGAAGTTTGTCAAAGGAAGCTGATGCATCGTGAAAGACGCACAGGGAGTAGCTTGGTGCAGCGAGGCAGGGGTCTGCGTGCGGAGACGTTTAGCCAAGCCTCGTAATTAACTCTGTGTGCGGGCGTCACGCACCAGATCAGTGGGCGAGAGGAAAAGCTCTTTTCTAATTAAAGAGACATTGTCAGGAGGAGGCTTGGGGATCACTCCAGCTGAGAGAAGGTTAAGAGTCTGTTTCACTGAGCTCTGGATCTGCTGTTTACTCCTCGATCTTTGCTCAGCCTGGGGAATGAAACCAGCCTAGCAGGCTTCCCTTCTGTCACACACTGCGGTGTTTTCTGGTGGTCCTGAATTAGCTCCTAGTGTTTTTTGGGGGGGGTTCAATGCAAATTCCTACACTGAAGGAATGTGATGATCTCAAAATCCCTGTTTCCAGGAATTTGTGCCTCTTGCATAACAAAAATACCTTCCTGGGTACATATTACTCAGCAGTTCTTTGTTAAATATGAAGCAGCAGAGCCCATTTTCTAGGTCAGTTATAGAGCTGGCTGAACGAGCTGACCAGGCCCTAGCAGTTGCCCATACCGACTTGAAAGAGAGTTGTTATGGGGCCTGGGAGTATGCTGCTGTGTTAGCAAATAGGCACCGGCTGAGCTGCAGTGGCTCATGTTTTTGCCAGAAGCAACCAAAGCAAACCCCCAAGCAATCAAAAAAGGCATTTTCCACATTAAAAAAGCGGAGGAACATTTTTTCCCCCTATCATGGATTGAAAGCATGTTACAGCTTACCAGCCCTTGACCAATGAGCAACACGGGTTGACTCTAGGTCAGTTTGTGTTCATCCGCTGCATGGAGAACTGTTGGTTAGGTGCTACAGCAGCAAACACTTGGAGGACCAAGCTGGCACATGGCTGTGCTCCTGTTGACTGGGTCGGGATGCTACGTTTTTGTGGCTTGCAAACAACCCCTTCACTGTGCCAATGTAATGGACTTGGCGAAGCCTCTTTCCTCCCTTCTCTAGCTGTCATGGGGCATCCCAGAGTGCGCTGCCCCACCGCCTGCAATTCTGGGCATGCTCGATGTCTTGCTGAGGCAGGACGGGAAAGCTGCCCAGAATTTCCCACAATGCATCAATACAAACACACAGCATGGGAAGTGTGGATGTGCCATGGCTGTGAAAGGCAGAAAAACTGCAGCGTGGACATGCTCCAAGTTGTGTTACTTGAATGAGGTTAAAGTGACTGTGCTTCTAAATCACAACTGTAGGTCTAAAGCCAGAAAGTAAAATTGATACAACACATGCAGGGAAGAAAGGCAACCCATTTAATTCCACTGAATGAAGCGCAGATCCAGCAAACAGCATAACCGGGAGAAAGGAAATTAAATGCAAGGATTCTTCCAGCTTTAATCATCTTAAGGTGCTATTGGTATCACAAGGAAGGAATTAAATACACAAGTTTCATGATGACAGTGTGCTCCTGGTACAGGGCTGTCAAGCTTGACAATTTGAACAAGCAAGATTTAGAGGGAGAAAAAAATCCACAGCCCACTGATGAGTGAGATTTTAAATGTGCATTTGAAACACACTGTTAAATCTTTTATTGCAAGAACAGGCACTATAAACAGTCACCTCAAGCTATGGAGTCAGTCCCAAAATGAGTGTGATTTTCTCCCTCCAAATCTCTGCTACTGGGTGAAGTTACCCAGTGTTTTAAATCTTCCCTAATGCATCCCAGAGATTATAGTTCCTTTTCCTCCATGACCCTTTATTTATATTACATTGTCTTCAGCCCTCGATGGACAGCAACTACCCTTACAATCTTAGTAGGGATGTGAAAGGTTAATCATTTAAATGATAAGAACAGTTATACCTGTAATGCAGGTAATGTGCAATCCAGTAGGGCAGGGAAGTGGTGCGGTGCCTCTGGTTTTAGGAAGGTGGCAGAACAGGCAGGAGGGAAAGAGAAAGGAGGAGAAGGGATGAGGGATAACTAGTACCCATAGTCTATGAGGTTAAAGAGAAAAACAGCAGGTCTAATGACTTGTCAATTAAACCATTAGCTGCTTCTTCACAAGTGCTGGAAACCAGCTGGAGGGAGATAAAAGTTTAATCCATCCCCAGCCCTGTTACCTGCTACCTCCCTCCCAGGGCAAGAGGGGACGAGGCAGGGCAGCTCCCAGCAGCAACTGTGTCTGAGCAGGTCAGTGCACAGCCCCAGTTCCCTGCGCTGCTCGGAGCAGGTGGCTGCAGCCTCTCTCCTGCACCAGGGCAGGACAGGCACCAGCCTAGGGCTCCACATCCCCCTGGCCTGGACTTGGTGTGTGTGACGGGTTAACTGTTTAACCGATATAATTAGAGGAGAGGCAACGGATATTTTTTTAATGACATTTACATCCCTAAATTGTAGATGTGACCTACCTGTAAAATGTTACATTAAAACCTTTTTAGTGTCCTTCTGCCTACTTGAATATTTAAAAAAAAAAAAATTCTCCATGCCCCACGAAGTTTGCAAAGCCACTTTGATATAAGTTTTGGCTGCTGTAGGGTCAAGTGAAAACCACTCCCTAGCATGTAATCCTTTCCCAGAAGTTCCAGGCAAAAGGATTCCTGTAAATTTCCCGCACAACCTCACGGTTAATGCACGCAACGGTCAGGCCTTATTTCTGGCTGCCAGCCATGACAGCGTCTCTTTGAACTTCATTCCCTGCCTAGCTCGTTTTGCTTCCCTTAAGCCCCTTATGGTCCTCCTGCAGAACAGTAACACAGAGGGCCAGCTGCTTTTCAGGGCAACTGGCTATAATTGCTCAGGGACAAGGCAACCAGCACACCGAACTGACTCTCACTCCAAGGGTCGCCCTTCAACTCTGGACTTAAATTTACCTGTGTTCAGTGTGGACCGGCTCGTTATTCCCACCTTTCATTACTGGAAATGACTGGTGTCAAAAACGCTGACTTGGGGAACTGAGGTTATTAGAAGCTGTGATTGTGCTAGAGAGATTATCATGACGTTTCATGTATCCATCTTTGTGGGAAGGCACCTTGTCCTTGTGCTGCTACTCATGTCAGGTCTAATTCAAACTTCCACTGGCTTCAGTGGGCTTTGGGTCAGGTCCATGACTTTTCTCCTGCAGCATGCACTTTAAAAGCTTCAGCACCAGAATGGATGGGAACAGCAGCTAGTTGAGAAAAGGGTAAATGGCCTGTGTAATGGAACCAGATGTCTGTCAAGTGCCGGTGCGAGAAGCCAGCCGAACAGCTGTGGAGGACAAAGGCCAACATTCAACTACAGGCCAGGACAGCTTGGGCAGTGTTGAACTATCCTCCCTTCCACACTGCACCACAGCACCTCATCTACAACTAGGACAGGCTGCCTGGGAGCTGACAGTGCACAACACATTCGGTCTACAAAGCAGCTGGATGCAGCAGGGCACTCTGGACAGGTAGAAAGCAGGTGTGTCACCCAACGCCCAGCAGCAGTGAGGGTGGCAGTGGCACAGAGCTGTGCCCCCCCCCCACCAGCACTTATGCATCCCTAGGTCTCCCGGGCTGTTTGTTATAAAACTGATCATGCCACTAAACAGACAACCAGGAACTCCCCTGCCTTCTCCCCCCCCCCACAAATGCATTCAGGTGACTTGGTCTTCTCCTCCGCTATTGCCCATCCACCTACCACACTTCCTGCCTCAAAGGCACCTCCGCTTAGCTGAGGTGGCACCAACAAAAAGCATGAGCGCTGCATGTTTTTCAAAGTTTGAGCATTTAGTGCTCATTGACAGAGATGGCTGTTCCCGGAGTTCAGAACCATTATTTTTATTAATAGAATCCCCAACGGTTACATAAGCTTCTTTCAAAAAAAAAAAAAAAAATCCAACATTGCCGTCAAATCCTAAAACTCCCAGACTCTGACACGCGACTTAATTGATTAATTCAATATTTTAGCAACAGCGCAAAAGTTTGCTAAATATAAAAGACAGAGACTGAGGTCCTGTTGGCTCTGCATGGACAGGAGGGATCCCACAATGCTTCCGGTACAAGCAGCAGATTGTTCCTGTGTCCTCAAATTGAAAGTTCCCCCTTTTGCCATTTGCTGGTAGCTAATTGGCCTCTGCCTCCACCCCAGAAGCAGCTGCATTTCACCAGGGCTGAATGTTGGCAGACTATGAAGGTTTTGGGGTCCCAGAGGATGAAAGATGCTATAGAAATGTAAATGTCATTAGCATTATAGAGTGAGATGACTGCTTGGCTGCTAAACGGGGAGTTGAGAAATTGTTTCCAATCCTTGCAATAAGCCTTTCATTAAAAAAATCAGAACTATTTCTCTAATCCCCCCATCACTGAGGCATACTGATAGCTCCCCTCAAAACCCCTCTCCTGGTCCCCTACACGTACACACACACACACACACACACACACACACACTTTCCTAGAATTCAGAAACGAACCTAGTAGGATCTTGCAAAAACAAACTTAGATACAAAGTACATGGGAGATGGGAGACGATTCTATGCAGATGCACTATATTATACATCCCCCAGCACCCCCAGACATGCCTGGAGGTGCTTGATTCTTGATGGCGATAGTGCCACATGCCTGGGTGTGCAAAGCTGCATGCAGCTGGTCAGGTTTATTCAAAGGCACATTCATTTTGAGTGTATCCCTCTGGCAGTTTCAGAGTTCAAACAGAAACTCTGCATGCTGCATTAGAAACTTCTAAAGGACCTTTCACATCTGATGATCTCATCATCACCCACATGAGCCAAAGAAGTACCATGAGTCACATTTTACACATGGAGAAACTGAGGCACGGAGAGGGGAAATGACTTCTCCAAGGCTGTGCTGCAAGGCAGTGGAAGGGCTGGGAAAGGATCTCAGGACTCTGGGATCCCATTCCTGCGCTCTAAACACAAGAAGCAGAGACACAAGACTTCTTCTTCCCCTCAGGAGAGACTCGGATCTCCCCTGCAGCATTAACTCCTACTCCTTAATCCCCTGCTCCAACCACTAGACCTTTGATTCTCAACCAGAGTGATGCTGCACCCTGAGGTATCTTGAGATCCTTTCAAGAGTGCTGTAGGGTGCCATGCAACGTTACCAGTCTTAGGTGGTGTGCAAACATGATTCACTAGATAAACCCAGAGATTTCAAATAAGAACCCATGGTGTTAAAAACATTTTGGCCTCTTGTGGTCTTTCCAAATCCTTTGCAACAGAAGAATTGCTCTATTATTTTTCTGTAGTCAAGAAACAAGGGAAAACTAAGAGCTGACATTTTCCAAGAGGGGACTTGAGTCTAAAAAAGGGTTAGAACTACTGCACTGCAGGTGACCTACATGAGGGCTTGGGCTGAGGAACAGGAGCTCCTGGTTACCTTTATGCTTCTCCCAGCAGCCAAAAGCACAGTCCTAAGAGCAGACAGGCCAGCTCCTAGGACCTGGCTAAAGGAGACCCTTGAGAATCCCTTGCTAAAATCCCAAACAGCAGCAAGGGTTGGAGGAATTCCCTCCCTTTCAAAGGAGTCTGTCTCGGTCCACTCTGTGCTCAGTGCCACATGTGCCTTGCGTCTCTGACTCAGAAAACTGCTTGAGAAACAAGGGTGGTTGTATTCATCTTGTTGCTGCACCGAAGAGGCAGCTGCAGCAAAACATATTGCTCAGGCTCCTTTAAAAATTTTCCTCTCACTATGCCAGGTATGGGGCTGTCATCTACACAGCAGATGCTTGAGAACAGGGGTGGCCAACCTGTAGCACAAGTGACACAAATGGCACAGGCAGCTTCTGTGAGACATGCAGCAGATCAGGAAGGGGGCAGGTAGCATAATTGCAGATAAGACAGGAAGTAGAAAAAGGAGCAGCAAACCAGACAGGGAACACATGATGGGGAGCAGAAAGCAGAGCAGCAGATTGGGGAGGGGAAGGAGATCGGAGTGGCTCTTGGGGAGGGTGTGGCACTTAATTTGTGGTATGCATCCCAAACAGATCGTCTCCCACTGTTTTAGAAGTAGAGTCTACATCAGGGGAGGGCAAAATGTGGCCTGGGGGCCGGATGCGGCCTGCCAGACCATTCTATTCGGCCCACAGGGCCCCTAAAAAATGTAGAAAATTAATATTAATCTGCCCTGGGCTACCTGTCATGCAGCCCTCGATGGCTTGCTGAAACTCAGTAAGTGGCCCTCTGCCCAAAATAATTTCCTGCCCCTGGTCTACATGTTTGCTGTTTTCTCCTTGAACTAAGTCCCAAAATTCATTTCTGTTTAAATGTATTCCCCAGTCCCTCATCCCTCCCATGCTGCACTCCTGGGACACAGAGATCTCCAGATATGGAAGGAGGCTTTCACAGGAACCCCCCTGTAACGATACTGGCAGAACAGGACTCACGGATCTGTCGCAGGTGCTCTGCACCACGTGGCTTTTCCCTGAAGCCCAGACAGGACACTCGTTCGCTGTACTACTCTGCCACCATTTCTGGATCCATCCACCTCTGAGGCTGTCTCTGCAACAAACACACCTAGATCAGATGTGCTCTGATGTGACATCTGCTTTTCAATGGAGTCTTTCAGAGCCTCTCCCTAACTGTACCGTAGCAGAACAGCGACTTAGAATCACAGAAAATCAGGGCAGGAAGGGACTGCAGGAGGTCATCTAGTTTAACCCCCTGCTGAAACCCCCAGCTAGATTATCCCAGCCAAAGCTTTGTGTAGCTGGGTCTTAAAAACCTCCAAGGATGGAGCTTCCACCACCTCTCTGGGTAACCTGCTCCAGTGTTTTACTACCCTCCTAGTGAGAAATATCCTAGTATCTAACCTAAACTTCCCTTGCTGCAACTTAAGACCATCACTCCTTGTTCTATTATGTACTACCACTAAGAACAGTTCAGCTCCATCCCCTTTCAAACCACCTTCAGGTAGCTGAAGGCTGCTATTAAATCCTCTCTCAGTCTTCTCTTCTTCAGACTAAGTCAGTCCAGTTCCTTCCGCCTGTCCTCAAAAGTCATGTGCCACAGCCCCCAAACCATTTCTATTGCCCTCCGCTGGATTCTCTCCAATTTGTCCACATCCTTTCTGTAGCAGGGGCCCCAAAAGTGGACGCAGTACTCCAGA